GGCACTGCACTAGTATATATAATACTTATGTCCACACACAAAATGGCTGTAAGATAAAGCAAAAATAACACTGCTTTAGAAATAAAGGACACATTTTGATGTACACAATTAATATACTAGTACTTGTATTGTAGGCTACTAAATACTTTAAATATAAATTATATATACCACTTCAGTGATCTAGCATGAACAACACCAGGACCCTGAAACTGAGGCAGCTAAATGGAATTCAACGTTCAGCCACAAATCCATACCTTCTGTACGCCAAGTTCAGCAGTTTCATTTCATGTCTGTGAACTCTTAGTTTTAGTGTCTATTTTTTAGTGTCTGTGTATTTGCATGTTTTTTTTTAGCTTCAGTGCGTTGAGCTCTCAGGGCCACCGTACTCTGTGGACTGTGGTCTACTTTCAGTTTCATTTACAGGCGCAGCGTCGCTGGTTTTAACTCATGAACAGGTACAGTAAAGTACTCTTTTAAAACTCAGGTACTTTTTTACCTGAGCATTGTCTGCTAATGAAGTTCAATTCAATTCAATTCCAGCTGACTCAGCTCTTGGGCAGTTGAACAGGTCTGAGTGCAGCAGTGGAAGCAGATGAAGGAGTGCCAATCCCTATTTAAAGTAGAAACCAGAGCAGCTGTATTACATTAGGACAGTCTCCTGTCATTGTTCTGTAAGTCTCACTGCGGTCGCAGACAAACACATTTCATAAAATGGACATACAAGTACCTCAAAATTTGACTTCCACACAGTATTTGAGTAAATGTACTTAGATTTTTATTTTTACTCCAAATGTATATCAGTCCCAAATATCTGTTATTAGTTTCCTTGATAATTAAGTATATCAATCCGTGGTAGTGAACTATTTACGGTACATTATCATGATGATGCATTTGTGAAGGTGTTCAGGCTGCCATGGATCAGAATAACGACGGAGAGGAGGGAGGCCTCCCCACTAAATCCACTCTGAGTGGGGAACAAGGCTGCCAGGCTAAGGCTTTGAGGTGAGATCCATGCAGAAAAATCACTGCACCGTCCGTCATAGTTGTGACCTAAAGTTGTGTGTGTGTGTGTGTGTCTGTTTGTGTTTGTGCGTGTGTGTTGAAGCCAAGAGCAGCATCAGAGACCAGAATCTCCAGAACCCCGTGCTGTGTCAATGAAGAGCCACCACTCTATGGGAGTCCCCATTTCATTCACTAAACAGCAGACTGCTGAAGCACAGTAAGCCATGTTTCAGAGCATTTTAAGGACTAAATCCAGCAGGGTGTGCAAATGTTTTTGAGTCTCCACCCATACTGGCAACAAAAAGAAAAAAATGAATACTCTTAAAGTGAACATGCATAGTTAAGTCAAAAGACAGCCTTCTCTCAATTTACCTTCTCTTTGATGTGTACCGGGTTATTCTGATAGTGTCTGAAATGATTTTATAATACATAAATCCATCTTTCCTGGTTTCTAACTGTAACAGTTTAGCATTGCAACATGCATTAGCAACACTGATTTATGCTAATGTATATGAGCAGGGGACAATATTACATACATACATCACATATTGTATGTTTATTTGTTTTTTCAAGATATGGCGCTCTGAGTAGAAGAGTAACCATAAACTAGGTGGATACAACTGATTTAATTTATTTTACTATATTAGTGCCAATGTAATGTATATAGTACATGCTGTATTTCTGCCAGGATGCAGCAAAGATCAGACTCCCCTGTACCAAGCTGTGTGTCCTTGAAGAGCAACTGGTCTATGGAGACTCCTTTAAATTTCAAAGAGGACCGCCATTGTGTTGATACAAAGTAAGGATTTAAAACTCATACACACCCACACACCACTGGAAGTCACTGCACCTACAGCAGTACAACCAGCTTTGCTGGAGTTGCTGGGGCTTAAATACGCTGCTTAAGGGCACTCCAGCAGTTGCTAATGAAGTGTGCCTGCAAAGCTAGTCTAACAGTCAGCATATATATACTTTTATTCATAGTGGTGTACTTAAGCCATCACAAATGTGTTGCCCTGCTCTCCACTCCCTGTTTTGCTGGGCTTGGTTTTTCCAGGTGTGTCGTGACATCACCCATTGGAATATAGTTTTGGAGCCTTGAGTTCCGCATTATGGTTGTTGCCATGGTCCCGGGGTCCATGTCATGCTAACATGTCAACAAGAGCGCTAAATTTTAGTGATGGAAAAACTAGCACAAGTCTTCCTTTTGCACACACCAACTTTATCCCTTGCAGTTTTTGGTCAAAAACCAGTCAGAAATGTAGAAATACCCCTGACTGAGAATGACTTGTAAATCACAAAGTAGCCACGCCCTAAAGCATTCCCTGCTTTATCATCTATTTTATTCTAATTTACTAAATGAACATCATTCTGTATGGAAGAAGACTTGAAACTAGAGATTAAGACCATAAACTCATTAGGAAACTGTTTACTGAGCTAATCAATCAAGTGAGAAGTAGCACATTTTGCCATTGAATTAAATGCAACTGGACTTCTTTTTGCAGCCCATGGAGCGGCCTCCTGCTGGCCATTAAAAATAATGCAGGTTTTAGATACTACTGCTTTCACTTCACTTCACTTCTTGTGTGTGTGTGTGTGTGTGTGTGTGTGTGTGTTGTCTTCAGAATCCACCAGCACACATCAGAGGTCCCCTGCGGTCAGTCTGGCCAGCAACACCAAACAGATCTGGACTACATATTTATGGTGCGCAAATCTAATTTTTTATAACTAACATTAGCAACCTCAGAGCAAATGCCACCTGTTCTATATGATCGGTGCCAGTGATCTAGGATCTGTGTCCATTACATATGAATCTGATGCTTGTGTTCCAGCTGCTTGAAGAAAACATAGTCACTTTTGTGAAGAACGAGTTGAAGAGGTGTCAGAGGATTCTCAGTACAGACCACCCAGAATGCTCAGAGAAGTGGAGAGAGGATGAGGCTGCTGTGGACAGTGAGGAGAAAGAGCAGATGAAGAGCAGCAGGGAGGCCTTTGTGAAGATCACACAACACTTTCTCAGGAGAATGAAGAAGGAGGAGCTGGCTGACTGTCTGCAGTGGAGTAAGAGACTTTTCTTGCCAAGCTCAGTCTGCCATTGGTGCACAACACTGTTTCTAGGACAGTCCACATGGTTTGCATTTGTATTGTTGTCCAGACCATGTGAATTGTTATGGTGAAGGTGCTGTAGACCAATAGAGTAGAGCATAAAGCTGCAACATTATTGCAAAGGGAATTGGTACAAAAATAGACACAGGAGGGGTCCATACAGGCAGAGGTGGGACATCACAGTGACATTATCTATCCTTAAATTAAAACTCAAGAACTCTCGTGAGCTGTAGCTCAGACTGTACATTCACTGTTACATTAACTGTTTACTGCTAACCTCACTTTCCTCTGACGTCAAGCTTACCTGCTTGTCTTGACCTCAGACACATCGCCTCTGTCTGTCCTGCAAACTCCCCACACACGGCACCAAACACACCCAATTAAGCTGCGCTAGTCTGCTATTATCACACAGCTTTGTTTTGTCCTGTATTGTGTTGACTTAAAGGTCTATTTAGTAGGATCTATTGTTAGAAATGGAATATAATATTCATAGGTATGTTTTCATTAGTGTATGATCACAAACAGTCCACAATGTTGAACCGCCATGTTTCTAATGTAGCCCAGAACGGACAAACGAACAAACAAGTTTTTGTGGAGTTTCACTGTAGTTCATCCTACACACTTCACAGCCTGAGTTTCTGTCCAGACACCAGTTCTAGATAGTGCCTTTCACGTTTTCGCGGCCACCATAGTTTCTCCCACACTGCAGGTTCTCAGACTATGGTATGTGTACCACTGGTGGTATGCGAGCTGCCTCTAGCGGTTCGCAATGGAATCTTTAAAATATATATAGTTTTATTTTATAAATTAATTAAAAAACACATTATCAAAATACTAAGTGCTTAACCTATGAGATCATTTTGCCCTTCCTGTAATATTTTGTTTCAACATTAACCTACGTGGTCACGTTCATGAATGTAGCGCACAAATACATCCATGATTAGTTAGGAGCTAAAATGTGATGGTAAAATAGTAAGCAGAGGTAAAATTAACACTGTTCAAAAACATTGCAATCGTGGCTCCAAACAGGAACTATTTGGTTCAGTCAACAATAACTCCTGTGTGAACTGTCTATAGCTTAACAGGGTCGGTCTAAGCTACTGTATTTTAACGTCAGTTCTAATGATGGTACTTGGACACCGTGATATTTTCTAAGGTATGTGGTGCTTGGTTGAGGCAAGCAGTATTCAGTTGGTTCCAATCTGCAACTTCACAGCTTAAAATCCTACACAATGGATCTTTAAGCCAAAGTGTGCCTACACAACTGACATGACATCTTTCTGTACCAGCTCTTTCTCATTGCCCCCAGCTGTATTTCTGCAACATTTTAGGATTTTTGTCTCTCAAAGTCATGTTGGTCAGCATGGTTAATTACACTGCTTAAAACTGCAATGCTAACTCAGCAACTGGATTTATTTCACAATCCACACAGCAAACTCTGGTTGTGTATTTAAGCATACAGAGTCAGATTTGTTTGTTGTCCTTACTGGTTGGTGGCAGCCTCTAAAACTCTGTCGGTTAGAGAGGTTTTTTCTGTTACTTTCCAATTAATTGCCCAATTGTTGGAATGGCAAGTAAAAGTCGTAACATCTAGGAATGCCCCATGTTCTTGCCACGGCGACCCAGGTTTGGCTCTGTCCCACAGCCTTTTTCTGATAGCTTGAGCTTGAACAAGCCCCCAAAAATCAACTAGTAACATCCCGTGGTAGTGAAGAAATTAAAATCTGCTGCCTGTGTATGTAAGCAACTATAAAAGCCTAATATTTCACCTTTTTATTACTACATTACACTCTAGTCTCATTCTTTGCTTCCTCCAACAGGAACTAGTGCTGCTATGTGCCAGTATAAACTCAAATCTAATTTTAAGAAGAAGTTCCAGTGCTTGTTTGAGGGGATTTCTAGAACAGGAACCCCAACACCTCTGAATCAGATCTACACAGAGCTCTACATCAGTCAGGGTTCATTTGGAATTTCTTGCCTCTTAATGGGGTTGGACCAATCAGTTGTGTTGTGCAGAGGTCAGGTTGGTACACAGCTACAGCCCTTTTAACAACTGTTACAATTCATATTAGCAAAGCAAACCAATCAGCTACAGTAACAAGAGAAATGACAGTCCCATCATTACTCCTTAAGAACTGAAGTTCTAGATCAGTACGGAAAAATTGCAAAAACTTTGAATGTGTCCCAAGTGCAGTCAGCAAAACCATCCAAGCGCTAGACGAAACCTGGCTCCACATGAGGACTGGCCCCAAGGAAAGGAAGACCAGAGTACACTCTGCTGCTGAGCGATAAGTTTCATCCGAGTCAACCAGCCTCAAAATCGCAGTTAAAGAACCATCAGATTAAAGCACACTGAACCAGCATGGCTACCACGGCATCCCTGCAGCATCAAGCCATCCCATCCGGTTGTGTTTAGTTGGGCCATCATTTATTTTCAACAGGTACAATGACCCCCAAACAACCACCTCCTGCTGTGGGCTATTTGACCAAGAGGGAGAATGTGATGGAGTGCTGCGCCAGATGATCTGGCCTCCATAGTCACCCTAACCTAAACCCAATCGAGATGGTTTGGGATGAGATGGACCCGCAGAGATGAAGGCAAAAAAGCCAACAAGTGCCAGCATCTCTGGGAACTCCTTCAAGACTGTTGGAAAACCATTTTCAGTGACTGCATCATGAAGCTGATCGAGAGAATGCGCGAAGAGTGTGCAAAGCAAGTAATCAGAGCAAGAGGGTGGGCTATTTTGAAGAATCCTGACCCGACCAAGACATCCTGGAAAGTGACAAAGTTTACGTTTTTCACTCTAAATTACACAATTATTACATAATAATCACCGCAGTAAACTGACTCCCCTCAACTCGCAAGACGGAGAATTGTTTTAACACTCCGCGAGTTTTCCGCCGGTGACAGACGCTGTTTTTGGGGCAGAAATGTAACGGAAGAGTCGGGTAGGACAGGCGGGAGGACAGACAGAGGACAGACGCTTCTCCACGTAGGTACGCTGTGTATTTTTTTGTTCCTCATATAAGTTTTCCAAAGACAGTTACAAGTTACTACTAAATGTCCCGACGTCCCACCTTCAAACACAACACTCATTTGGCCATAACATGAAAAAGCTACATAACCTCCCCACTTGTTCTATAGCAGGTATACTTCCTACGCCCAGCTGGCAATACCCCATTCCACTCCTCTTTTGAAGCGGGACGTGCAGGTTGAATCACAGCAGCTACAGACAGCGCTCTGAGAGGGGTCATCGAGTAGTTCCCATCTGAGAAAGTGTTGAGGAAAATACTTTTACATAGTGGCATTATTGTTCCATTACAAACCCAATATTCAAACTGAAAAGATTAACTATTGTTCTGATTATGCTGGGGTTTTAAATGCAAACAGCTGAGTTTAATCTTCAGTGTCTTTGAATAAAACCTTGAGCAAGCAGTAAGTTACGTGATAAAGTGCTGAGTATAACAATACTTCGATCTAAAATTAAGTGAATGTACACTACCAGTCAAAAGTTTGGAAACACCTTCTCACTTAATGGTTCTTTATTTTCACAACTATTTACATTGTAGATTCTCANNGGAGAGCGGCGCTGTGAGAATCGCGTTTTTTGATTTCTCCAGAGATTTCTCATTTAATGTTTTTTCTTTATTTTCATGACTATTTACATTGTAGATTCTCACTGAAGGTATCAAAACTATGAATGAACACATGGAATTATGTAGTAAACAAAAAAAAGTGCGAAATAACTCAAAACATGTTTCAAACTTTAGATTCCTCAAAGTAGCCACCCTTTGCTTTGTTGACAGCGCTGCAAACCCTTGGCCTTCTCTCAATGAGCTTCATGATGTAGTCACCTGAAATGGTTTTCACTTCACAGGTGTGCCTT